AACCAATCAAGTCAAGTGATGTGCATAGAAGAAATTTTATTCTGGTTTTAATTTATTTTCTTAGCGATATTTGGTATGGAACTATGAACAAATGGTTACCTAATAACCCAAGTCTTGCTAGAGGCATCAGCTTTGTTATTCTTAAAGCTGTAGGAATCTGCCTGGTCTCATGCCTGTTTCAAGAGACATCAAATAGCATGGCTCTTATGATTAATTGTTAATACATTTTATAAGTGCGTAATTTTTGTTTCATTAGATAGAAATGTCTCCCGAGTGATTTTTTTTTTTTTTTCCCTCTAGGGAAAAATGTGGTCCATGCATAAATTAAATTTTTATATTGAGGTTCTCACCAAAATAATGAAACACTACCCTAAATAATAATTAATATATTGGACTTTATTAAAACGTGTTTTGCTGCTTTCTGTAAGAAAGTATACAATTAAAATTTTCTCTTAGAATTAAATGTTGAAAGTTTTGATTCCTAAAGTCATGTATATTGTACTCTCTCCATTGAATCTTCCTTATTATTTAAGGATATTCAATGTAATTTGAACAATAAGCTATTTAGAAGTAATTTTTTATTTAATAGATGTACAGCTTCTACTGGAAGTTTCACTATTATGTGAGCACCAAATTCTCAGACACCTTCTCATAGCAAGTTTAGGCATTTATTTCTTTGTGTTTTTCCTTTTTAAAAAATATTTCTCTCATATGACTGTATAGTCAATCTACTACTTGAGACTGTGAGGTTTTTAATATCGGGTTCCACAAGCATGGAGCTGGGTGATAACAGTTGCCCAATGAATGACAGATGCAATATAAATTCAGGAGTATAAAATTATTGTAACTTAATTCCTTGATCCTATATAAACCAATTTACAGAACATTTAAAAAATATTTAAAAAATCAATAGAGAGTAAAGGTCTAAAGATGGTATCTTCTAGATCAATATTATTCAGATGTACATGATTAGAATTTTGGTGATTTTTACAAAAAAAAAAAAATTCTTCCACCTGTAGTCTTTTGACATCCAGAGCAAAAGAGACTGAAAATTGTAATCATTTCAATGGTTGAGGAAACTGTGATTGTACCATAAATAAGAAACAGAAGAAAGGTGAGGGAGCCAACTGAGTGATCAGAGTCGAGTATGTTTTAAAGCTAAGTGGAGCGCCACACACGCTAAGCTGAGACTTCGTTGAATGGGCTAGGGAAATGAGTGGCAGAAAGCCTAATCAGAAACTATTTCGGATGTCAGTAGGACACTTTTTTTTTTTTGGCCCTCTTCCTATATGTATCTTAAGAAGAATTGGGACTAGAGCTTTACATTTGAGAGCCAGCAATGAAAACCAAGGTTTTGACTTTTGTACTCCCACAACCAGTTCAAGGTCAACCAGCTAGTAACCAAACTAGTTTTATTACTGCCTTCCAGCGATGCCTAGGTCTCACACTGCTTGGTGTCTTCTTCAATGTTTTTCCTCCTTTGCCTGTAAGGCAAGAACTGTAAGGACAGTTCTTCTAGTATGTTCCCTTTTCTTCTGTTCCATTTACTATTTAGGGTTATTGATTTCCAGTTGACCTAATTGTAAGTACAAAATTATGGCTCTGGCAGGTTCGTTTCCTGGTAAAATTGAGTGCATGGTAGTAAGCTTGGGAAGGTCTGAAGACAGACAGACACACACACACACACACACACACACACACACACAAATCTTCCTGCCAAGGCCAGTAGATTGGAGGCATTCTTAGATGTCTCTACTTCATGGGATATTCTTGTCATTTTGGCCTTTCCCTGACTTAATGATGGCCATGTACCGGCCTGGGGTCCTTCAGCTGTCGTCAAGTATTTAGTTTCTGAATAAATATTTATATTGCCACTCTTTGGTGGCTTTAAAAATAACCTTCTGCTGGAATCTACTTCCTAAATGTTGTTAAAGGCATTCCACTCCTCCTTGGTAGACTACTATTGCTGTATAGTTTACTTCTCTAAAGCAGTGCGATTCTATAACAATGTGGCTGGCATTGAAAAGCAAGCATCCCGCACCATCCAAGGGATGGACACACTTGAAACGGACTTGGTGGGGGGGCAAGGGCAACATATGTAACCTGGATATCTGTACCCCCATAATATGCTGAAATAAAGAGAAAAAAAGCAAACATCCCTTGATAGCTGGGGATGCTACCTGAGTTCAGGAAAGCAACAGTAGCTCAGGTGGCCTAAGGCAGGCTAGTGGTTAGTGCCAGATATACCACTCGTGTTTGCAATAGTCAAGAAGGACTGGTGTTGATCAGCTATCCCTTCCATACTCCGAAGGCTTTTTAAAAAGCCTTCACAAAAGGCTTTTGTGGCTTTTTAAAAAGCCACAAAAAATAGCTTGCAGTATTCTCAGAGTGTCAAAAGGGGTTCTGGAGTGATAGTTTTCCCTGCAGAATGTTTCCAAAATGGGAAGCGGAAGCTCCATTTGTATCTTGCAATAATTCATAAATAAGCCCTCAAATGAGCATACATATCAGGATTCAGATTAAGAGTGCTAGTGAGTGAGTGATGGACTAGTGACCTCATGAAGAGACACTGGGCCGTGATTTTTTTTTTTTTTTTTTTTAAAACAGAGTCTCATTCTGTTGCCTGGGCTAGAGTGCAGTGGCATCATCATAGCTCACTGCAACCTCAAACTCCTGGGCTCAAGCAATCCTCCTGCCTCAGCCTCTCGAGTAGCTGGGACTACAGGCATGCGCCACCATGCCCGGCTAATTTTTTCTGTATATATTTTTAGTTGTCCAGCTAATTTCTTTCTATTTTTAGTAGAGACAGGGTCTTGCTCTTGCTCAGGCTGGTCTTGAACTCCTGAGCTTAAGCAATCCTCCCACCTTGGCCTCCCAGAGTGCCAGAATTACAGGCGTGAGCCACTGCGCCTGGCCGTAGTCCATTTTCTGTTGCTTATAACAGAATACCTGAAACTGGATAATTTATAAAGAAAAAGAATTTGTTTCTTACAGTTTGGGAAGCTGAAAAGTCCAACGTCTAGAGACTGTATCTGGTGAGGGCCTTGGTGCTGGTGGGGGCTCTTCTGCGGAGTCCCAAGGCAGTGCAGGGTATCGTTCACATGGTGAGGAGGCTGAGCCTGCTAACGTGCTAGCTCAGGTCTCTCGTCCTCTTCTTAAAAGCTTCCAGTTCCATTCCCATGATAGGCCATTAATCCACGAATGGACCAGTCCATTCACGAGAGCAGAGCCCTCATGACCCAATCACCTCTTAAAAGCCCCACCTCTCAATATTGTCACATTGGGGATTAAGTTTCAACTAGTTTTGGAAGGGACAAGTATTCAAACCATAGCATTATGCTCGTGTGTAATCACATTATACATTTAATATCATGATTCTCTTCACTTGGTATCATAAACACTTTACCATGTTATTAGATATTACCAAAAAAGTGATTTGAAATGGCTACACTATATTCCGTAAGGGGATCTACCTTAATTTATTTAACATCACTGGATATTTAGGTAGTTTATACTTTTGTTTGTTTATTTGTCTCATTATTGCTAATCCAACTAATACTGTGATGAATGCTCTTATCATTTTAGTCTAGAATCCTGTGAGGTAATTAGGTTGGAGTTTGTGTGTGTGTGTGTGTGTGTGTGTGTGTATAAGGTTTTTAATACATATTGACAAATTGCTTTCCAGAAAGATTGTTTGTATTGACATCCCTTCAGCAAGTTTAAAATGTGCTAATCTCAGTATACTTTCACCTATGATAAGTCTTATAAAAAATAATTATAGCAATTTGCCAACATAATAGTTATTGGAAAAAATTCTAATGGGAATTAATCTTTTCCTGGAATAAGCCATGGATGTGTCCACTTTTCTCCATTTCCACTGCTGCCATCCCAATAGAAGCCACCATTGTTTTTTCTGAATTGCTTCAATACCAGAACTCCTAACACGCTTGCACGGATTTTCCCGACGTGGCCCCTGTCAACCTTTCTAGCTTTGCCTCAAGACCATCCTTCTTAATTTCTGTACTAACCTTCCTTTATTTCTTTCACCACTCATTGCCCCTCTCCCCTCCATGCCTTCACACATGTTCCTTTCCCTGGTAAGCTTTGTCTTCCCCACAGCTGTTCTCACGCACCTTTGCCTGACCAAGTCCTCCTTCTGGAGTAGGGCTCCTTAGACATCCTCATAGCAACCCACTCTTTTTCTTCCTTATGTTGAAAATAGCTGTAATTAATCCATTCACTTTTGTAAACTACGTTTTAAATAATTACCTGCATAATTTAGATGGAGTGATTGACATGCATTCTTTCCATAGTTTTGCAAAAAAATATGCACACGTACACATTTATTAGGGGAGAATTAAAAAAATTAAAATAGTCTGTGTGGTTCGTGGAATGAATCATCCTCAGAGAATAATGACAAGACCATGAGCTCCAGACTCCTAGGACTTGGTTTGGAATCCTGGACCCACCATTTATGAGCTGCTTAGTCTTGGGAAGGTTACTTGACCTCTTCTGCTTCACTTTCCTCCTCTATAAAATGGGGTTAATATTACAGTTAAATCTATCTTTTATGATTGCTGCGAATATTGAAGGAAGTAATTCATGAAGTCCTTATTGCACAGCCTGGCACATGGCAGGTGCTGTATTATATAGATATTAGTCATTATCCTTTTCTTTATTCTCTTTTCCGTCTTTATCTTTGAACTGTATTAAGTGCCAACTCTGCAGTGCATAGTGCTAGGTGGTATCTAGGGATCTGCTTTCTTTCTAGGGAATTGCCCTGCGGATTTCAGTGTTTCCTCTCAGATAATGAGGTTACTTCTGATGATATTTTGTGGAGCTTCCTCTATCACTCTGACATTCTTCTTTAGGAATTCATGATACTTCACTTCCAGAACTGTAATGAGTATCATCTGTAAAATAACATAATTTATCTCTGTTTCTTTTTTTGGTAGTATAACTTTTTGAGTATTAACACTCAAATCTGTTTTTCTTGACAGCTGGCAAACTTCCCCAGACTCTGCGAGGAAACGGAAAGGATCGTCGCTAACCACATTCGTGAGCGAGAAGGGAAGACAAAGGACCAGGTAAGGAGAGAATTTCCCTGGTGGGCAGGGAGCTTGCGGGAGGTGGAAAGTGTCTCCAAGGCTGTCTGGTGGTCTCCAGCAGTCGGCCTATCCCTTAATGGAAAAAAAGAAATAGTGGAACAAGCAACTACATTAACGAATTATACATGTGTTACTATCCCAATATCTTATGTATGTTAAAAATATAAACAAATATAAAGACTTCAGAAGAATGAAATTTAAAAACAGTAATAGGAGTTCCATTATTATTTTCTACAACACTCCACGGATCATCACATGCATACGTTCTACTTTGAAAACCACAAATCCAGAAGCATTCCACATTTTTTTCTTTAAGACAGGAGTTCTTAACTTTTAATGGGCCTGCAGATGGGCTCCAGCAGGCTCACAGACTCCTACAGTGTTATGCAAAATGTTTAGTGTTTTTATTTTTTTCTGAGAAGAATGGACACAGCTTTTCATCAGCTTATCCACAGAACCTATGACTGAAAAAAATTTAAGACCTGCTCTTTTAAAGATTTCTGACTATTTTGTAAGTATATATGGTTTGTCAGGAGTGACCTTGAGATTGTCTTCTAATCCTAGCTCTGTGATTTAGAACGATAATTTTCAAGTCAGGATAATAAATTAAAAAATGTGAAGGATTAAATGAAAATTACAAAAGCTTCCTACATTTGAGTGGATTTTTTTCTTAGTTACTTATATAAACTATTACAATGGGGAAAAAAACAAAGGTTTTTAAATTCTTTTGAATTCCATGGCACAGCTGCACATGTGATGTTGTGGAGAGAACACTGGACTTAGGCCATGTGTTCTCCACAGAGTAACAGCATGTTCTTGTGAAAATCACTTGTTTGGACTGTTGTTTTCTCATGGACAGCATTGGGATGTTGGTCTATATGATCTCTGAAAGCCTCCGTGAGTTAGCATTCCAAGAGTCTGTGATTCTCAAGTGAGTTGGGGCAGGGGAGAAATGGGAGAAAAACGAGATAAAAGAGAGAGACTGGAACAGACCACAGGGAGAGACGCACAGCAGGCACAGAGTGTGCCTGTGGGCGGGGTGGAGGGACAGAGGGATGGAGGCCCCACGGTTGGGACATTTGTGAGTGACCCCAGTCACAGCCTTTCCTCTCCTTGAGCTGTGGGGCTCGTTGTTAATACTTTTTATTGTTGTGTTTTGAAAATTAGTTAACCACTATTTATAGTTTTTACTTGTTTTCCAACTTTCACACTCTTGGATAGCTGCAATAGCCAAAAGTGGAGAAAATAGGGCCTTGTGACTTATTTGAGATAACCAAGTCAATATTAATTCATGAGCCAGTGAAATCAAGGCCAGAGCCAGATGTATAGCCCCATGGACAGAGCTTCCTTCTCCCACCCCATCTGCTGTCTTGGCTGCCCCTGGGCCAAGAAAACTTACGTTCTGGGGAATCAGCTGTACTCCTGACCTTAAGCAAACGAGCTAACTTCTATTTTATTGTCTTTATGATATTCAAATGATAAGGTATCCTATTTAACTCTTAGGGAGCCTATAGAAAAATAACATTGAAAAAAAACCATTGGAGTTATTATTTAAACCATCTTTGTGATCATAGCTAAGTCAGGTGATAACTTCTTGCTATTCGGTGTTTCAGAATTTTTGTCTTAGCAAAATGACGTGTTCAAACCTTGCTTTGTTGTTAAGATCATGAGCTCTGGGCTCAGACTCCCTGCCTTTGAATTCAAGCTCTGCCGTTGACTTTCTGTGTAACCACTGACAAGTTACTTGTCCTTTTTACACTTCAATTTCCTCCTCTTAAAGTGGGACAGTGATGGTACTTAACTCACAGGCATTTTGTGAGGATGAAATGAAGTAATCCAAATATAGCTCTTGGTTCTTAATTAATTTTAGTTGTTTTTGTTGTTGTTCCCAAGAGCTATGACACACAGTAGATAGGAGGAAGACTTGGCTTTCCTGATTTCAAGGGAAAGTGTCTTCCATCTGCAGCTCTGATGCAGCGATTACTTCATTCCCCAAGTGTGGCATGAGGGCAGGGGCAGGCATCTCCCTCCTGATGACACTCACAGGCAGCCTGGTCTCACAGGTGTCACCCGCCTGCAGAAGCTACTAGCGGTCGCCGCTAATAAGGACCTGTGTGGCATAGCAAAAACATGCCTACTTGTGATGATGTGAACATGTCATCTGGGATAGATCTCACATTTAAATTTTGAGCTCTCTGGGCCTTGGGCCACGTGGTACTCGTGAAGTGTCTGATCAGAGACAGTGACCTGTTTCCTTGGGTCTCTGTGTCTGAACTGCTTTGAGACATTCTTGTAGTTTTCTATCTTTAAAAAAAAAAAAAATGGAATTACTGCCAACCTCCGCTCTGGAAGCTTTGTGAGGGGAAAAGTCTTCAAAATGAAAAATATGGAAAACCATAAATCTGAGCTTTTTTCTTAAAGGGTTTTTGAATATCTCTGTGTGCCAGCTGTTATTCTAGGTACTTCCATACATGAACTTGCGTGGTGAAGTGGTTGATTTTGTGCATGATTACTGCTACCAGGGGTAGCTTTCCTTTTCTTCAACTAAAGATGCAATAACTGTGGGTGAAAAAGGCAGTGGGAAACTCTGAGAAAGTGAAAAAATGAGAAAAAAATGGACTATTTTCCTTTTCATCCCCCACATGCGACCTGGCTCTTTTCCTAGAGTGAACACAGACTCCCAGTTTCCAGGAATATGAATGAGAACAGCCATAGCTTTTATTTTTTTCCACTTTTTTCCTATATTGCAGTCCAAGTTAATGTGTGTGAACGTCCAAGATATTCATGACAACCTTTGGCAATGTTGAGAATTATATAGATATTTTGTTCCTTATGGTGGCAACAATTTGTGCTTAAATATTATAGTTTATTGGTACAAGCTCTTGGCCAAATGGATGTGGGAGTATAACATTTAATGGAATGTGGCTTTATTGTTGGGAGAATAGAGGCAAAACTATAGCTAATCTAACAATGGTCACTCTTCCTAACTCTTCAGTTTTCTTCAAGAGATGAAACAAAACTAAATCTGACTATATGAAACGTTTTCATACAAGTGTGATGTTGTTGACCCAATAGCCCCTGTGCCTTGACTTTATTTTTGGTAATGGGAGTGGATTTGGAGTGATCTCTTAAATCTTCTTTTAGCAGGTCCCCTTGTGACTCTCAGCAAGATTTGGTCAGATGACTGGTGGGGATTAGTCACAAAGGCAAAACCTCAGAACCCATAGCACGGGGTATTGAGTAAGAAACAATAATAAGTGGCCATATACTAATTGTACGGGAATAAATTGTTCCCTTTAAAGTTAAGTTTTTCAAGCCTGGTAGATAGTTACAAAGTGAAAGCCACAAGTATTTATTGGGCACCTATCGTGTGTCATGCTGGGTTCTGGGGACAAAAGGGTGACCCAGACATAACTCCTGCTTCTGTGGAGCTCACAGTCTTGCAGGAAAGAGAAACATCACACACAAAATTATATAATTACATTTGCAGTAAACACAAATTCAAGAATAGGGTGCAATATGTATAATTATGGTGTATGGACTAAAAGTAATAGCACGATCCATCCTGTTCTTGGGTGAGGTTAGGAGGTGAGGATCACAGAAAGCTTTCCCAAGGAGGTATCCACTGGAGAGCATTATGTAGACTGTGTCTACGAACTGTTACCACGAGGACTCCGTGCCCTCAAGTGTTACCTTCAATGAAGGGAGGCAGCATCAAAATACTCCTTGTGGTCATCAAAAGTTTATTCAACAAAGTCAAACTGCAGAGCTCGGGAGGTATTCAGGCAGAGATTTGCTGAGTCCTTTATTTTTCCCAATCAAGTCTCAGCATCCTAGAAAGAGATAGGGCACAGTTGGAGAACAAAAGAAAACTTAGGAAGAGGAGCTCAGTTTTGAACACCTCTGGAATGAAACCCTCTTTCGTAGTTTCCCGTTGCTCTGTTCCCCTCTTGTTCTGTCTCAGGCTCCCTGTCCCCCGTCGAAGAATATTTTCCACAGAGGGACTTTCCAAATGTCTGACTTGCAGCTTCTAAATATCTTATGATAAGAATATTTGCATGTTGGCTGGGACGTGCATTCAGTTTATTCCTTCACAAATCTTGACTGAATGCACGTGATGTTCCAGGCATTGTTCTGGGCACTGGGGATGTAGCAGTGAAGACAGCAGATGAGGTCTGTATATGGAATACGCAAAAACTTGCTATGTCAGCTAGTGGTAGTCCTACAAAAGAAAAGGCAGAGTAAGACGATAGAGAGTAACAAGAGTGCTGTTAATAATTTAGACAGAATGGTCAGGGAAGACTCTGATAAAGTGATATTTTAGCAGAGAACCGACCGATGTTTTGGTTTACTAATGAAGCTTACTGATCTCACGGAGGCTTTGTATTTATGTGTACATTGCCTTTTTGAGTTGGTTGATAAGATGCCTACGGAGCTTAAAGATAATAGGAAAGGAGAGGAAAAACGAGAGGCGATATTGCTACTTTGTGGTTAATTTATGGTGTGTGCAGGAGCAGGAAGCTCAGAGCAGCCCCCTGTTGGCCTTCCTGCCACACGTCTTTTTATACATGCTTGCCCTTCTTTTGAACATTGTGCCTACATTTTAGAGGAGTAGAATAATTCTAGGTTCTTGTGAAATTAGCAAATAGTACATGCCTGTAACTATAATGCTCTTCATGTGGCACTTAGACTTACTTTTCAAGTAGATTTTTAACTTACGAATTTAGAGTACAAAATTATGAGTCTAATGAAGAAAAATTAATGTAACTTTTCTAATCGAAGAAATGCAGGTAAATAATTTGTGGGCAATTATTGAATCTAACGTTAGAGAATTCTTAAGATGGGCTTTCACCGAAGTGTTTCTCTTTAACGTACAGGTACTGCTGTTGATTGACATCCAAGTCTCCTACATCAACACCAACCACGAAGACTTCATTGGCTTCGCAAAGTACGTGACACTCTTGATTGTCGCATGCATTCCTCCTACTGGTTTGTCTAAAACAAACATGCTGAACCTTTCCTACAATTCCACCACTTTCCGAGAGTACAGTCTGTGTCAAGATCAACTCTGAGTTTACCTACTTAGGAGGTCTGGGCCCCATGGCCATGTGGTAGGGGTATTTATTGTTCTTTTGATAAAGTAGTTGGCTCTATTCAGCATATGAAGTCATGTGAGTCTGAGATACTCATTATTTTTGGAGGATGATCTGCACTTTGTACTTGAACTCCTACAGATAAGCAGTAACAAATGCACATTTAGAAACTTGTTTGGAAGCAATTTTTCACATTAATTTGAAATATCAAGTGCAATTCATAGAATATAAGCTATTTCAATTTTCCGAAATCAGAATATAAAGTTCTATGTTTTAAAAAAACTTTCCTTTGTGAATTTAGATGTAATCTGTTGGGATGAATAGTCTCTTCTCTTTAAAGTATATA